AGAAATTCAAGACATATTTTGCAAAAGAGCTCAGATTTAAAAAGTGCTTTGTGCCAAAAATATCATACCTAATTTTTACAGTGCTTTACTATCAGAATTTGTATTGTTTATAATCTTTTAAAAGTAATTTTCCTCTCTGATAGGGTAGAGAAAAGAGGAGCATAAATGTTTTAATGCTAGAGCATCTCCCAGATGAGACTTGTTGCAAAGTAGTTTTCCTATGTCCCTTCATAAGCATGGTGCGCTTGTGCTGACCAAGTCCTTAAGCAGATAACACGGCACATCCGCAGTTCCCCTCGGGGCCTGGGAAGTGCACGGGCCATCATTGAGCTATTTGCTGCTGACCGAAAATGCAATTTTGACTTTTTAGGATTATGCTCACCATTTTTTTAAATGCACAAGAGACGATCTTTTGTCATAACCCACATTATGGATTTTATAGTGCCCTGCAGCTGTAAAGCATCTTTTTGTTTACACATTTTTGTATGGTATTTTAAGATTATCACTTAAAAATTTCTATAACCTTCAGTTTGTATAGCACTTTCTCAAGACCTCTGTCAGGACCAAATACAAAATGATGTCTTTTACGAATGATTTTAGTATGTAATCATGTGGCAGAGAATAAATAAATTTTGTGACTTGGGACAGTAGCTTTCCAAGTTAAGACAATGGCATGAACTCTGTAAAAACTGATCATCATGTATCAATGACTTTGTTTTTAACTCCTTGCAATGTACCTGGTTTTTACAGGATTTCAAAATATGTAAAAATAACTTTTCTTGGAAAATGTGTCGTAAACTCCTTTTTCATTATTGTTACTAAATGTTTTATATATTCCTTTTGTATGTTTTTTTCTTTTTTTGTCCTAAGTCTTCCATCTGTACCACTCTCATCCTCTGTCCAGATTAATGTTGAGAACCTGAAAGAATTTTCTGGGGCATGTGTTTGTTAAGTGGTCAAGAGTGGATGTTTGCTTTTCATATTACTGAAATAATCTGGCATTATCTATTTCCAAGTAATATAAAATGTTTATTTTTATGTCACCAGTTGTAACCACTCCCATTGCTGGCAGTGGGATAGGTGTTGGCAACAAATTCAGCTCCTAACAATGGATACCTGCTAATGATTCATATTTCCTTTTCTACTCTCTTGAAATATAGTCTCTTTAATTTTTGCACAAGATTTATTTTGCATCAAATCATCTTACAGTCTTTAGCAGAAAAATATCACATTATATATAATATGTTGTAGTTCTAGTTCATATTGTGTGTGGATAAAAGTTTGTTATTTTTATATATAAAAAAATGTAATCTCTGATGATGGTTGCAGTTCCCCTGATATTTGTAACATAATTTTATGTACTTAGGTTTGTCCTTTTTTTCTTTTTATAAGAACTGAAGAGAGATCTTTGTTACACGTTTTAATTTTTAATTTGCACTTCTGTATTTTAAATCTAACCATAATTAATCATTTTAAATAATTAAGTAGGCCTGAAAATTAGCCACAAGTCATGTTATAACCTTTCTCAGTTTAATTAATTCTAAAACCTTCGAAATTGACATTGAATTTTTTCCCCTTGAGACCCTTAATTCTTTTAAATAACTTTACTATTAATTTCTAATGAACCACGGTTGCTAAAGAAAACTTGTCTAAGACTCCAGGATGTTGTGCATTTGTGCTCTAATGTACTTTTTACATTATGGCTAATTTTTAGCATACGTATAGCTGTGGAATAATTGCCATATTTCAAAGTTCCTAAGGTTTCCTTTTTCCTTTCAGCCTGCCTGTTGAATTAAATAGCATGCAAAATAGCCCATATGAGACAATATAGTTAAATAAAACCAGGCTTCATGGTTTCCTTTTCCTTTTCATCTGCCCAAAGTTGATAGCACACATATACGTACTTTTTCAAAATGAAGTAAAAGCAACACTACCAAAAAGAGGATGAACACCTTTCCTCATTGTAAAGTTAGATGGTTGTTTCAGAAACTGGCAGTGCAGTGCATAGAATGAGCTCTCATTAATGTCCTGTGTTGTGTCTGTGACTTTAGGGACTGGGATCTTTTCTGACGATCTTAGAATGGGGAATTGGCCTCTGGACCTAATGTCTCAACCTAGAGTGAACTACTTTAATGTAAAATATTGTTACTTGTTAGTGTCCTTTTCAAAACCTTCGAAATATTTACTGGTAACTTGCTGAAGGGCTCCCATTATTGTGTCATCAGGATATTTGTTTCTCTGAAAACAAAATGAACTGTAAAAATTTGTCCCACACTGCAGAGTCAATCTGATGAACAGGTACATTTATTCAGTTTTAACTATTAGTTACGAATATCATGTGTACTATTCTCACTCTTTAGGTTTACACCCTGAAACATGTAAGCTTATCATACAAGTGAATTTATTTGCTAACAGAAAATATTTAAAACCACAATGGACTCTGAAATATGCAATCACCTAACTCCCAGGTAACTGGGTGGTTTGGGTGTAATAGCCTCTATTAGGTAGTGCTCCTTTTCTTCGCTCTTTTGAAATATCTATAGTAGAATGTTGGTGGGGCCGGCTGAGTGGCTCAGTTGGTTAAGAGCTCGCTCAAGAGTTTGAGCTCTGAGCAACAGCGGTTCAAGTCCAGCCCGAGCTGAGCAGCCGCTGAGCTGCCAACAGGTAGCAGGATGGCTCAGCTAAAAAAAAAAAAAAAAAAAAAAAAATCAGTTATAGTAGAATGTTGGTAAGTGGTCTAAATCTAATCCAAAATAAAACCTTTGGATTAAAAGGAAATCTGAACCCCTTCTATATTTTTGTTACTATTAAATAATGCTTTTGTAAATTTGAATGGGAAACCACTTGTATGTATTGCTACTGGGTTGCAGTTAATGCCCTTGAGCTTAATTTAAAATATACTACTTAATAAAAATTTCATGAAGAATTCCAATCAAAAAAATAAATGCATTTCAAAGCTAGCACTTTGTGTGATATGTATCACGAGTGTGGAACCAAAGAGTTAAAGATATAATGTGACTTCTTTAAAAATCAAAGCAACTTAAAAAAATTTCATACTTCAGATACTCACTGCCAATACTAAGCATACTCGTTTTATTGATAGTGGATAATTAATGCAATTTAATAACACTATGTTTAAGCAATGTTGCCTTGGAAACAGGATTTCTTAGTTCTAATTCTATTACTATCAGTCTGTTTTCAAGAAAAGTTGTTCTTATTTTGAGCCCCACCCCAATAATGCGTTTACCTTGTCCTATCGTACAAAATGCAGCTCAAATTTATTTAACAAGTGCTTTCTATGTTGGCCGCCATGCTAAGCACCTTGCATGGTGGATCTCATTGAATTCACAGGGGCATCACCGCCTTTACAGCTGGGGAGGGCAGGGATGTGCCGGGGGCCCTCTGCTGGTCAGAGGTGGGGATGGAAGCTCCCCCAGGTCTTCCTGCAGCAAAGCTTCATACCTCTGGGTGACGCTTACATTTAGAGATGAATTTATAATACTCCCTGGATCCAAATGCTAGCTCAGTTTTCCAATGGTAGGTTCTTCAGTCTTTCTGACACCCTTTGTCAAATTCCTGCACAAACTGAGCCCAGTTTAATCTGTTGTGGTAACCTCTGGAATATGGTGTATTAAGCTGGACTAGATACTGAAATTGGCCCTCCCCAAACATGTGAGTGAAGGTCAGTGATTTGAATGCTCACTATATGCGAGGGAAGCCTGTTTGCTACAATATTTACTGGTTTGAGGTGGATAATTAGTGTCCAGTTCAAGTTGTTTACTCTTAGTTCATGATTGAAAATTTAAGAATATGGTCAACGTCCCTAAGCAGAAAAGGTCTATTACATTTTGCTTGCTTGTTGTGTGATTCGACACACACAAAAAGAAGTTCACGCTCACGCCATCCTTGTTTTCTTGCCTTTTCCAAAATTCTTAGCTCTTTTACTTTCCATTTTTGTTTCTGAATAATTGTAAAATCCAGCTTTCAAAAATAGCATTATCACATATATGCACTCCACAAGTATCTTAGCATTTATCACAATCATTTGAAAGGGACAAATGCACAGATGTTTCCTAGTTAAAAATCATTGCATGTATTTTAGTTTGCCAGATCCTTACTTTGCTACTTTCAGTAGTTGTTCAGTTCGTTCATGCTTCCCAATTTTAAAATTGAAGCAGAGTTCTCTCATTAGTTGATCTCCTGTTTGGGGTGAATTCTGAGCATTGTGAGTCAGGGCACTAGACTGAGCTCCAATACAAAGGACCGTACCTGCACTCATTGTGTCCTCTGCGTAACACCTCGCTTGGCTAATAATGTTTTATTAAATGAAAGGGAGGACTCCATATTCACTGGGAGGGGAACACCACTGGAAACCACCAGTTCACATTTATGACTTGTTAGTTCTCCCCATCCATCTGAAAGCTTTAGAATTTTTTTTTTAATGTCAGCGATTTCTACATTAAAATACCAGGAGGGTCAACTCTATATTTGTCAAATTGTTAACTGGTCAGCAGTGTTGCTCTGTCCTCAGTTGGTGAACATTGTGTTCTTCTGTCAACTCTTCTGCAGGTCCTGCCAGCTTTACACTAGAAGAGGTAGGGTGGGGGTCGCAGAAGGGCTGTCCTGAAATTGTACATTATGTTCCAGAAGTGGTATGGAATTGGGATAGGGATGTTAGGGAGTATTTCAACACAGACAACACATACACTCTGAATTCCCTTAAGAGTCCAAATCTATTACCTATGTAAAAGATGACAGTCTAAATGACGGTAAAAATTTGACTCTTGGGAGTTTCATCGTTTGAAAATAAATTATACTTTTCATTCATAAAAATAAAACAGAAACAACACCTTGAGGTCACTCCCCTTGGATGTGGCTCAGGCTGGAGGTCCAGAGGGCTGGAGGCCGGAGATCAAGGGCTGAAGCAGCTCGGAGATGGCAGATCACAGCTCTTCAAGTCTGTGATAAGGGATGGTCTCCAGTAAACGCCACTGCAAAAAATGGGACAGAAACAATACAAAGAATACAAAGGTGGAGGTAGAGCTGGAGTATTTTGTGGTAGAAAAGCTCTGGGTTGAGATGGAGTAAATGCAAAGGGGGAGTATTTCCGTTTGGAAGAGATTTCCAGACACTGATGGTCCTTGAGAACTTGATTGTCTGTTTCTTAATTTTCAAAAAGCTGTTGAAAAGATTAGCACAAAAAAAGAAAATCCTTATCTGACAGGGCACCTGATAACAGCAAATTAGAATCTGCTGAAAAATCAAGAGGCTTTGCCAGTTATCAATGAAAATGAATGTTTCCCATGAAAGACTTGGGGCTAGCAATCCAACCAACCAACCATAAGTGTCCTCAGATTGTAACTGCTTTCTATGAAGAGTAATTTGACATTTTTGTCCAGAAAACAAAGTTCAATATTGTCTGCACTGAGAGAGACATGTATAAATATATAAAACCAATCTGGATATTTTTTTTTCCAGTGTGAAAGAATACTTACGTCCTAGTAAAAAAATGAGTTTGATATATTCATTTAGCAGTAGTGTTTGGGGAAGTTGAGGCTTTTGTGTATCAATAACATTAATAACAAAAGTATTCTATAGTTGCTTCATTTATCACAGATAAAAGAATAATCAATATACTGCTCAACCTTGTTAGTAAACAGAATGCAAAATAAAGGTGTTTCATTATCTAATGTTAGAAAAAAACTGCTCAATGCTAGAAAGCTTTCAGTGAAATAGCTCCAGTTTAATTATTGAAGACAGTATAAATTAATATCGCTCTTATACAGAAAAAAATTGGAAATATGTCAGGCTATGAAAATGTATATACCCTTTGACCAATAAATCTCACTGCTGGAAACTTATACCAAAAAAAAAAAATCAAAAACAAAAGAAGGAAAAAAATCTATGTATATAAAATATGTTGCCGTCATAGCAACAAATGGGAAATAACCTAAATCTCCGGTAAGGGGAATGGGTAGGGCAGAGGTTTTTAAGTTGACAATTCAGCAGACTTGAGAGCAGCATTTAATTATTTCTTTTAAAAAGCAAGTTACAACATTGTATTTACATGATTAAAATTTTAGAGAAATGACGCATTTGGGAAAAGATGAAGTGGATATATAGTTGTTCACAGTGGTAAAATAAGGTGTGAATTTTCTCATTTTGTCACATTTCCGTACATCAAGAAATACATTCATATTATGCGTAAAACTCAAGTTCAAAGTAATTTGGTACAGCTATCTAAAAAAACCTAAAGGAAAGAGGATGTAGGGAACGGCTCTTATTGTGATTCCTCTTATCCCTCTGAGCACACTGCTGGCTAACAGGGGTGCAAAGGTATGTGCTGCTGCTTCAGATAAAGAATTTCTAGTCAACCAGATGCCCCACGTGCCCAGGTGTCTCCACGCCAGACAAAGCCCAGGAAAGAACAGTGATGCTTCTGCCCCTCACTGAGCACTTACCTCCCCCCACATACGGAGTATTCATCCACAGAACAGTAAAAAATATATACATATTAGGTGCTAGATCTTAGTACAAGATAAGAATTCAATCTAAAAATTTCTAGCAAGATAATTAAAATCTCTACTTTTCATTGTTATTCACAAAACTAATGACACTGGAATATTTTCATCATCTGAAACAACTTTCAGTATCAAATGAGTGGTTATGCCTAACATAAAGAACTAATTGTTACTTAAAATAGTATTTTATTTTTACGTCATTATTTATGAGTGCTCTCAGGTTTCAACACTAATTAAATCTGTTTTCAGCATTTTGTTGCAGAGTTTTGGAAGCAGCTCCTTTAGAATGCTCTAACAGCCTGATGGCCTTGTCAGAGTTTTCAATATTTCTAAGCAGCGTCTCTAATCTTCTCTTAATTTTCTTCTGATCTTCAAGTGCACAGCCAATGACTATGGATTGAAACTTCTGGTCAACTGGCCCAGGCGGCACCTCCGATGAACACGCACTATACAGGGACATTAAATGACTCTTGGCATTTCCCAAGTCATCCAGAAACTTACTGACCACCTCATCGATAATCCTGGTGGCATGCTTTAGGGATTCTTGTTGCTGAGGGTTTCTAATGGTTTCTACTGAAACTTCAACAGTGAGGGTTCGTCCCATCAAACGGTTTGCAGTCAGATTTAATTCTTCTCTCTCTCCTAAACATAAGTTTGAAATATCAATCAATATGAGACATAAACTTGTGTATGTTGAAGGGGTTCAGAACAGGCCTCCCCAAGATGTGCCACTTCGGTATGTGAATTATTTTGAGCAATTGAGACGAGACCTGCAGCCTCACGAGAAACTTTGACTTCTACCTTTAAGAATTTAAATTAGGGGTCTTGCTCATAATAAGCATTGTTACCAGAGATAGCTTTTCATAACCTACTCATAGGGCAGGGCAAACTTCTAATTACTGAACATCTGCTTTTCTTATCCTACAAATCGCCCTCCTCCCCTCTGCAGCCCCAGGCACCTTCTCATTCCTTAGCTCACATTGTCATGTATACTTCACTTAACCTTTCTGTCTCTAAACCTCTCATGTACTTGTCTGTGGGGTCTCTGACTCTCTCATGTATGTGGGGTTGCCACAGGTACGTATGTAATTTGATTATTTTTCTCTTTTTAACGTCTCATGCCAATTTAATTATTAGACCAGCCAAAAGAATCTAATGATAGAAAATTTCTTTCTCCTTCAACAATGTCAAGAACACTAAGGCATTCATTTGTGGCTAAATCTATTTTCTGTAATCACCTCTACTATGAATTTTTTAACGGTAAAAGTTAAAACTCTAGTACATACGATTAACTGATGAAGTGTGGTAGATTAGAGAGAGGTTGTGGAATACCTTTCCCTGAATGTCTTCATACATGGGGTACCAGATGGCTTCTCTGTTGTCATGCTTTGTGAAAGTTTGGGCAGGCATGCATTTGTAACTGGGATGGAGATCAAATCTTTTTTTTTTTTTTTTTAACTTTATTGGGGAACAGTGTGTTTTTCCAGGACCCATCAGCTCCAAGTCAAGTAGTTGTTTTCAATCTCATTGTGGAGGGCGCAGCTCACTGGCCCATGTGGGAGTTGAACCAGCAACCTTGGTGTTATGAGCCTGCACTCTAACCACCTGAGCTAACTGGCCACCCTGGGGATCAAATATTAACACAGTGAACAGTGAGCATAACTAGGGTTTTGTGCTGGTGTGAATGTCCTGAATCTCTCCATAAGGATGTACATGTAGGGGAGCAAAAATGTTTCCCTTCTATCTTTCTGAGTTTTTGTCTGAGAACCCCTGTAATAAAAGATTAACAAGAAAAACCAGTTTATTAACATGTGTATCTCACACATACATAAGAAACTGAGTAACTCTGAGATGGCCCAAGATACCACGTTAAATACCATATTCAGCTGAAGACAAAAGAAAGGTATTGGGGAGAGAGAGAAGCCAGTTATGGGAGGTCAGGAAAAGCACGGTAAACAAGGGTAAGACTGAAGTACAGTAGGTGCCTTCTCCATTGTTAAGGGTTTCTTGTGATTTACTGTCCTGTCTTCCTGGTACAGACAGAGAGACACACTTACAAAGGGACATTTACTTTATAAATGTAAATTTCTCTTAAAAAAGGGCAATGTCTACTCTGTTTTCAGAACTTCTCCTGTGTCTGCAGTTTCTCAAAATAATCCTTACGAAGGGCCAGCCGAGTGGCTCAGTTGGTTAAGAGCTCGCTCAAGAGCGCGACTCTGAACAACAGAGTTGCCGGTTTGACTCCCAGCCCAAGCTGAGCTGTTGCTGAGCTGCCAACAGGTGGCAGGATGGCTCAGCTAAAAAAAAATAATTAAAAAAAATAATCCTTACACCAGAGGCATATTTGGGGGTGGCATATTCTGCATGTTTATCAGAAAACAATACTCCAATTTTGACTGAGAAAACACAGCCATGATAGTGGAGAAAAAGCTGGCCTCAAAAGTAGGCACTGACTTCAGCCCCTCCAGACAAAGGTCAGATGGCCAGTGGTCTACGATTTGACCAGCACAAGGAGGCAATGATGGGAAAAGGGGCTCTGTCAACATTTCATTATTTATGTGAAAAAGTCACCCATCTCCTATTTGTCCTGTTCGGCCACTGCCTTCCTGATTCATTGGTCTTTAGCCAGGATAGTGAAGAACAAACTAGATCCTGACCCGGTTGTGGTCTGCAGTTAGACGCACACTTACCATACCAGCCACCTGGCCCACTAGGTTGTCCTGTGAAGCACCAAAGGAGCTAAATGAGGAAGCCCAGTGCCAGTGAAAGAAAATCACAAGTGGCCTGTTCCTCCATGGGCAGTTATGTTTTCACACGAAAATGATAGCACATTTTTACATTCATGGGGTTTTACTGGGTCTATGATTTATTTTCTCTGTATTTTCCCCCTTCGTCTCTTTAAGTTACACATCAGTTCATCTCCTTTTGTCTTTACTTCTCTGCTTCTAATCTCATCTTTTCCCTCTGCTTTTCCATCATCTACATTCCAGTAGCTTCTATAGAACTGAAGTTACAAGTATGAACCTGCAGTCAGATGCTGGGCTTTACTGCTTGGGGCCAGCTCTTCCACCAAAGGAGCTTGCAGGCCTTTTTTCTACCACCTCCAGCTGTGGCTTTGGCCTTGGCCTGGGGGTACAAAGTACAGGGGCAGAAAGATCTCTGGGTGACTGACAGCTGCAGCTGCTGCCTGCTCCGCACATTAAATGCTGAAACCTAGAGGACTCATCCTGCAAGTCAAGCAAAAATCGACCTATACTTATCATAAACCCCCTACAGGGTGTAAAAGACAAGCCCCCATCTGTGGCAACAGCTCTCACCGTCGCTGATCTGCCTCATGTCCTGGCTATTTTGGACACTGTGGATCATTTCCAGAAGGATTTCTTTCTCTTGCTCAACAGCAGTTGCTGCTTCTCTCAAAGCTTCCACCCTGTATAAATTGGGAGAACACAATAGTTACTGTGTGGAAGGTTAGTTTTCCACATCTTTCTATCTTTCAAGCCAACTCAAGTTTAAAGATCATTGGGAACACTTTTCAAAGTCTTTATTCCTTTTTCTTTTTTATTCTTGTTTTTCTATTCTTTTTAATCCACTTACCTCACTCTCATTCTCCTCCCTGCTCACAGGGCAGTCATTCTACTTAGTGTTTATTTGTTCTTACAAATATGTATTTATGTATTCATCTATTTCCAGTTTATATCTCACTGTTCCTCTTTTCACTCAGCATTATTTTATTAAGAACCATCCAGGTTCCTATGTGTACATCTAACCAGTAGCTTCCAATTGTGCATAGCACTCCATGTGTCAGCCACCCGATGTCACCTCCTCTCTCCCAGCGGAGACACTACCTTGTCCCCTAGCTATTCATCACCACAAATAACACTTCAATGAGTACATGTCCCCTTATGGACCTGAATGAGAATCTGCTCAGGATACATCCCAGGCAGAACTGCTGAGACACAGGGTGTGCGTACCCTCCGTCTGACTCAGTACTAGGGTTGCTCATAGTACAGGAGTCCCTGTATCCCCACAACCCTACAAATGCTCAGCATTTTCCTATTTGCTAACTACTTGTTGCCAGCCTAATAAGTTTACAGTGATATGTCAGTATTTAATTTGCATTTATTTCATTAACAATTTTGGACATCTCTTTGTATCCTTGTTGGCCTGTTCATAGCCTTTGCCTATTTTTTTTGAACAGGGGTTACTGTCCTCTAGTTGATTTGCATACTCAAGGTACTAACCCCTTGTTGGGTACAGACAATGCAACCATCTTCTCCCATCCTATCATATAAAAACTTTGGGATAGTGTTTGATCGTGTACTTACCACACATACACATGAACACACCCAGTCACTAAAGAACTAGGCTGTGGAATCATGAGAGCAAGAAGAAAAAAAATCCTCTATATTTAAAGTGCTCTGTTTCCAGGGCACTCTCCTGATATATATTACACCACAGCTAACTAAGCTGCCAACTTTTCCAAAATAAATAGTGACAGACCTATCCCTAGGATTCAAAAGGTCTTAGAAACATGAGGTCACGGGAGAGCTAATCCTGATTGCTGCCCTAAGTGGGAAGCAACAGCTTCACCAATGTTTTGGCACCTGTCCAGTACATACGAGAACCACCCGCTCCTCACCCAAACCTCACATATGCCTTTTCCCCAACAGCTGCCCACCTGTTATCCTCCAAAATAACACTGATAGGCAGCAGAGTCACAGGGTCTCTTTATTCATCAAGGTATTAAATATATGTGGGACTCTGTATTTATAAGAGCCAGTAAAGAAAGGCAAAGAGCTGATAAGGATTTTATGTGACAAATTTGGCTAGAAAGTACAATCAAACATAATAATTTATAAAATAGTAATTAAATACAGTTATCAGGCCCTCTTTCAGCACCATTCATTATGTACTTACACATTTTACATTAACAAACTCTTAAACTAGGGCCAAGTACATATGAAAGAGATTTTGAGTTGGTACTAATATGAAACATTTATGCTAAAAACACAAACCATGACTCTAGTATTTAAATGACAAGATGAACCATGTGATTGGTAAATGAGAAGATGCTGAAAGAAGAGATTAATTTTTCAACACTTGAGTTTGAATTCAAATGTAAGATGATAAAGAATTGAACTTTATTCTAAAAAGGTTTCGTTTACAATAAGTTACAATAGTAAGGTCATGGGGTTGTTAACAAAAAAATGGTTTAAAAGGAGACATTCTAGGAAAAATATAATCTGTCATAGGAAGAAGTATTTTGTCATTAAAGGAGACCAAATATAGAGGAAATTAGATGGAACTTTCAAGTTTTGGGTTTTTTCCCCACAAGTCTAGAAAGTGACACAGCATTTTCCCTGTGAGAAAGATTTCAACTTTTATAGAACGTCTTATATATTTTCATGTATACCTTTTTCATGTCATAGCAAAAGTAAATGGTCATTCTTCAGAACCAAGGGTTTTGTTTTGGTTTGGTTTGTTCTTTTTGGCATCCTTGGCCTTTCATTTGCTATTCCCTCTTCTACAACAGTCTTTATCCCTGATCCTTGTCTACCGGGTGATCCTTTTTCAAAACCCAATCCTTTTGGCAGGGACTGTTTCCTTAACAACTTCCCCCTTCCTCTCCCTTGAGGCAATCAGTACCTCACTTGGCACGGTACATCTGCCTGGTGTATGGACTACATCATATTTAAGCATTTTTCTTTTAGAAAGCTGAACCTAGATCTCTACTTAACTTGTTTTAAGTAATATTAGTACTGTTTATCAGCTATTGGTATCCTTAAATTCAACTCACATATAATCTTTTAGTCTACAACCTTTCCATTAATTCTAGAAAATTGTTAGCCATTAAATCTTCGAATAGCCTCATCCTCCATTCTGTTATTTTCTTCTGGAATGCAGGATAGACAAGTGTTGGGCCATCTCACTTTATCCTTCATGTTTTTTAACACATCATTTGACAGCGCTTCTCTTGGCGGGGAGGGGCAGTTCTGCTTTTATTAACGGATCCTGGAAGCAGCTACAAGTCCAAATTGGGAAAGAACTTATCTGCACATCAAGGCTGGCCTGGGCTGTGCTCCTGGAAAACTCTCTGCATGAACTCACAACTAAGCCGGCTGTAACAAAAATAAATTATAGTCAGAATATTCATACAAGGACAAAACTGAAGTGCACTCATGCTCAGCTCGTCCTCGGGTCTTGGGCACCTCACAAATCTCTGCAGCCTAGGTATCAGAAGACAAATTGTTGGGAGACTTAGGAGAGGCCCAGTGGCGATTTCACCAGACTGTGGCCCCTACTGCGCCAGCTAATACAGTACACAGCGTCAACTGCAATGGCTTTTCGGTCCAAACCAGCGCTGCCACTTATTAGCTGTGTGACCTCAAGTAGTTACTTAAACTCTCCTCGCCTGGATCGTCCCCATCTACAAAACAAGGATAATGAGATGGTGATTGTGATCGAAGGAAATAAAGCAGGTAAAGAATTTAACACAGTGACTGTCAACAGCGACTAAAAAAATCATACGTATACATGAGTTAATATGTGTAATATGCCCAGAATTGGTGGTGGCAAACATTAACTTCATGATATTTGCTCTAAACATACCATTATGAACTCAGGCTTATAAATAACAAGCATTTGTGCTTTCATGAAACGGAGGTAAAATGGCAAATGCTCCTATCATGGATTTATTTGAAAGAAGTAATTTCTAAAACAGGTTCTTAAAATCATAGTCCTGTTTCTTATTCAGTACTTTTTTTTTTTTTTTTTTTGGCTGAGCCATCCTGCCACCTGTTGGCAGCTCAGTGGCTGCTCAGCTCAGGCCGGGACTCGAACCACTGTTGCTCAGAGCTCAAACTCTTGAGCGAGCTCTTAACCAACTGAGCCACTCGGCCGGCCCTTTATTCAGTACTTTTGTATCCAAAGAATACAACGATTGCCTATATTTTAGGCAATGTAAGTTTTTGAAGGGTTTCCCTAATCATAACCAAAATATTAAATTACTCTCACTACTGAGACACTTCGGTGTAAACGTGGGACAGGTGATTAGTGTTAATAGCTACTCACCAGGAGTATGGCCCTAGGCTAGCCACGCAGTCCCTCTGGACCTCAGCTCCTTCATTTCTAAAAGCGATAACATCTGCCTTCTTCCTACCTCAAAGGATTTTGTAAGGTTCAAATGACAATGTTTATGAAAAGTGCTCTTTTAAATTACAGGCTGTTATACAGTATTAACTATGACGCCATCTTGCTTTATGACTCCTGGGACATTGGCACACCCTAAGAAACTTTAAGCCACAGAAAAATTTCAGCCAGACAAATGATCCCTATCACCTCCCTATCCCAACCCTTCATTCCCTGGCTGGTAAGTAAGCCATGCAAATGGCTGCTAAAGGAGGAATGGGGGGAGGGGAGCCACAATACGATCAGTTTGGGCAAATCTGTGAACAGCCAACCTCCCGTTCAGTCATTTCCCCCTGCGCCATTCTCCACAACCTATGTCCCATCTTCACTACCATCCAGAGCCTTCTAGGAGCCACTCAATACCTGGAACAGAGTGGGCTTTCAATATTCACTGAATTAAACACCAATTTAAATGGAACAGTATATTCATCCATATACTATTCCCACATTTTGAAATATGACATATTTAACATTAAGAAAATTCAGCAATAAAGTACTGAGCTCTATGGCCAGTCTTCCTGGGTTCTAGCTATGTGATCTTGGACAAGTCATTTAACTTCCTAACCATCAATTTCTCATCAGGAAAATGGAAGTAATAATAACTTCCACAAAGGCATGGGGTCTGGCATATAGTCGGTGCTCATTAAATGAATAAATGTTAACATGTATTGTTTATAAATTATGGTAACTGCTTAAAAAGTAACAATAATAAGTGAGGTGTTTTGAGCCACTGATGAATGCAAAAATCAGACATCATTTTGAATTGGTAATGAAAGGCAGGAGATAAAGGAATCACCTTTTTAGGAGGAGTAAAAAAAGAAAGACTAGTGTTATGGTAATATGTTAGAAACAAGTGGAATTTCTTTTAACCATTTGTAGAATGTTGCCAAACATCTTAAAGCATTTTAAACATCATGTACACCAGTTCAAACTCCATGTCATAATGCATTTAGCAATAATAAGGTTTTCAGTTTCATATGTAAGAAGTTTCTACAATTGACAAAATTAGTACTCAAGAGGAATTATAAATGCAAGCTTTTAAGTATAAACTACTTAATACACTGCTTTATCAATCATCCTTAATATGAAATTAAAGATTTCTAGTTTTTAACAGTGCAGTGCTCTGTGACACTGTCCATTATTCTAGTTTTCAATAGTGCAGTTCTCTCGGGCCGGCCGAGTGGCTCATTGGTTAAGAGTTGGCTTGGGAGCGCGAGCTCTGAGCAGAAGGGCTGCCGGCTTGGATCCCACATGAGGGCCAGTGATGCTGCCCTCCACAGCTAAGATGGTGAACAACAGCTCGACCTGGAGCTGGGCTGCTGTGAGTCGTAGGCGATGGCTAGGCTGCAGCCCCTGCTACAGTGGGCTGCTGTGGGCTACTGTGAGTGGGTGGCAGCCGGCGTGAGCTGCCATGAGTGGCCATCCAATGGCCCGTGACCGATCTACCTCAGCTGGGAAGAGAGCAATGATCACAATACCAACATGGGCCAGTAAAGCGACGTCCTCCACTAGACTGAAGAACAAAAGGACAGCAACTTGTCTGTTCCCCTTCCCCGATTCCCCAACACTGTTCCCCTCCCCCAATTCCCCAATAAAATCTTTTTAAAAAATAGTACAGTTCTGTTACATTGTCCATGTGGTTTCAAATAAACTTTAATGGATAAGCATTAGCATTTTTCTCTATTTTTACTTGCTTTCTGAAACAGTTCCTTAGTTTTTCAGTCGCTATTACTTTTTTTAAACTTAAGGTTTATTGGGGTGACAGTTGTTAGTAAAGTTACATAGGTTTCAGGTGTGCGTTTCTATAATACATCATCTATATATCACATTGTGTGTTCACTACCCAGAGTCAGTTCTCTTTCCATCACCATATATTTGATGCCTTTTACCCTCATCTACAGCCCCTCCTCCCTCAATATTACTTATTTTGAAGAAACAAAGCTTACAAAATTTAACATTACAAGAAAAAAAGTCCTTAAAATGAACAATTAGACACATATTAATCAGTCTTTCCTCCTCAGCTCAAGGATTAAGAACATTATAATTTAATAATCTGTATACAGTAATCAGAATTCATTTAATATTAATCAATATTAAAATATAATAATACTCAAAACCAGAGGCTTTTAGAGATGAGTACTTGACTGCTTTTGCACCTACCACACACAGAAAGTATTAATTCAAGCTTGAGGACAATGACTCAGCTTGAAGAAGGAGGGGCAAAACCCTCATTCCTTTAAGGAACAATCCTTTCTTTCTGATTAGGGGAGAGAGACCCCTGAAATGGTTGAGAACATGCCCTCAAAGTTCTAAAGACCTGGGGAGAAGCGTGAGTTACTTGTTATATAAAAAGAAATATTATTATTCAGAGGGACAATAAGTAGCTGAGGGCACTGATCTCTAGTTTTGCTCCACTTTCTCTGGTGGGGGGTTGATGTTAAATGTTAATCTCAAAAGTAATGGGGAAACATTACTTTTCTCTCATTCCATTTGTCTCTTTCTGAGCAGAATCCCAGAATGTGGTCATGTTTGTCTAACAGTTGCCATCCATGAAATCATTGTGGGTGGAGAATTTCTCAAATTCTGACTCCTTTCTTGTGGTCGTAATAATAATAAGTGTCTCATTTGCTAACATACACTGTGGTTATTGCTACACTTCCTTGGAAAATAGACACCTCTTCTTGTTTTTGGGATATTGTTCGATTGAGATAAAGACAATGCAATGCTTCTTAAAATTTCTGGCTCACATACTCTTTTGCTCACCCAGGACCTGGTGAAAACTATGGAAGAAAATTCTGTGTCGTTTCAGGAAGTTGTGGGTGCCTTAAGAAGATTGTCATTTAACTACACCTGCACACAATTTACACAGTAACTTTAGTGATACAAACGTTTACAGGAAGTACATAAAAGTTTTCATACACTGTTAAATGAAAAAAAGCATTTCCAAAATTTAACAAAATTATTTAGAAATTCTATGCAAGCCTACCTACATTTACTAACAGCTGAATCAGATAAAGGAAAAACTGACTATCCTATGCTTTCAGGCCAAGGACTAGCACTTTCAAGGTGTCAGCACAGTGTGTTTTATGGAAGGCAAACAATAAATATTGAGAATTAACGTTAGGGCTCAATACACTGTGGGGTTAGGGGGAAAATTGGAGCTGCGGTGTCTTTATTCCACAAAGTACGCAGCTACTGTTCACCCAGCAGTCCCTCATTTGCCCTACTCCTCTCTAATCCTTGTTATCAGATAGATTTCTGGATTTTTTAATTTATTTTTTCCTCTTAAGTGTTTTGGAGCAAAACAACTAATCAGTCAGTCACATGGGAGACCGCTAAACTGCTGCTTCTCTTAAAAAACGTATAATAAGAAAATAAGTTAAAAACATTTGGGAAGACCCTATACGGGCACACAGAAGGTTCTAGAAGTTCTGTAGACTCGGAGTGTCACCGTCCCTAATCTCAAATGACGTCACTGAACTTTTACAATATCTTCCCTAATTTTTCTCCGCTCCCAAACGTTCAGGTCTGGTAAAGAGCATGTTGGCCGCCAATAACGCGCTCCACGATTTTGCTTAAATTGAATGCGTTTTCTCTCAGGCGAGGAAAGGAAAATCCACCCAGAAACAAAACTGCACCATCTCCATCGAAAACAAGTCCCAAGCAGGCAGCGTCCCTTGCTGCAGCCTGCCCGGGGGCTGTGCCCGGGTCGCCCCGCCGCGCACGGCCCCGGCCCCGCGCGGTCCCGCCGCCGCCTCACCTGAGCTCCAGCTGGTCCAGGCTCTCCAGCAGGCGGCTGGAGCGGTCGGCCATGGAGGAGGAGCGGCAGAAGCGCCCCTCGTTGGCTTTCGCGTTGATCTTCGCTTGAGCCATCTGACCCTCTGAGGCGGGGCGGCCACGAGGTCACCGGCCTCTCCGGTGGCGGGGAGTGGAGAGCTCCCGCGGCCGCAGGCGTCGCCGTCACCGCGCGGGGCGCCCGCCTCCCTCTGACGCCCGCGGGGGGCGGCCCGACAGGAGGCCGGCACCGCCGCTGCCGCGTGGCCAAACAAGGGCAGGCGCGCCGCCCGCGGGCTCGGGGGCTGCGGGAGGGCGCTCGCCGTCCTCGGGGCTCGAGGATGGGCCTTTACAGCCCGGGGTTTGCGGAGCATAGCCAGGCGGCCTCTGAGACACCTGGGGGGACGGGCGCACAAGGTGGGGGGGCGGCCTAATGTGATCCGCGGGTCCCTTTCTGCGGACCCTGGAACCGAAACCGATGCGGAGACTCACAGACCACCCGCCCCCGCCCCCCCTACGTCCGCGAGGCCCCGATTCTCCGTGTAGACCCCCCAAAAAAAACAACTCCCTACACGCTAAGGGACCTAACGGTAGGCTGTGGATGTATTATTACTCAGTGATGGCTTAGTTTCTCCCAGCCCCCATAATTCACTGCAAAAAACAAAAACGTTATACAGTCCATGGGGTACGTGGAGAAAAGGTCCCTATGTGAAGAGAGGGCATATAACTGCAGCTCCTTGGCCGTCCATACTTGCCTGACCTGCTGTTACCACTTTCCTTGGATGAGAATGATATAGCCTGGTAACACCGCTAAAGGTATGGGGGGGGGGGGAAGCGACCCCATCTTTCTCTTTACAGCTGGCTGTAGGAAGCCAGGTGGATTTTACTTCATTTCTCCCCATTCTAACACAGGGGTTTTTAATAAGACTTTTCCTATTAAAAATGATTTCGGTTGGAACTGGGGTGAAATAATTGGTATTAAGGCCATTTCACACCCAATTTATGTAAATCTGTCAAAAATGAAAAAGATGCAGTAGGCCACTAGGTCAGATATAATGTGGAGTAGAGCTGAGAGTACTAAGATTTATCTACTTAAAACCAGGGATTTGCTCCCATCTCATCATAGCTATATGCTTCATATTGCAAGAATGAAAATGTATATAGGGCGTATTAAATGATAGGTATCAGTTTAAAGCTGAATCACGACTAATCTGATATCGAAGCTATTTAAATACTTGAACAGAGGTGAGGCCCTTAAACCTGAATCCCAATTCCCTCTGAACTCAATCTAAACACGAATACATTATTGGTGTAGGGATTACTTGACCTCATTAAATATATTGTCATATCATGACACATACTTGGAATTTGAAGACATTTTGCGAATGGTTTAAGTCTATCAAGTAATTTTAGAATCATCCTGTACTTTTTTTCTCATGTACTAGACCCAATCTAGAAGTAAATCCCGTCATCTTTACCTTCAGATTATATCCAAATTCGTCTCCCTAATTCCACTGCCATCAGTCTGGTCCCAGCCACCATCAATTCTCACCTGGCTGGTACTGCAATACCCTCCTGTCTGGTCTTCCTGCATTTACTCTTGCCTCTCACAATAATCCTTCTAAACACAGCAGATCACACCACTTCTCAGAAACCTTCAATAGTTCATTTCAGAGTAAAAGCCAAGGACCTCAGCAACTTCGCCTATCACTCCCCTAGCTCACGCTAGCCTTCCCGCTTTTCCATGGGTGTATCAAGCTGACCTCTAGATTTTTCACCCTCCATCTGGCATTCTCTTCTTCATACATATTTGCTCACTGTCACCTTCTTCAGGTCATTGCTCAAGTTCACCTGGTCAGGATCCTTCCTGACCACCCTATTAAAAATAGCAGGCCCAACTAATAAAAAATAAAAAAATAAATAAATAAAAATAGCATGCCCTCTGCCCCCAGACTTTTCTTCCCTTCCTTATTTTTCTTCATGACACATCACCATTGGATATACTTGCTTATTATCCAACTCTATCCAACCCCCTCTCTCCCAAAGTGTGCTCCATAGAGGAACAATGAGGGCTTTGTTTTGCTCACTGGTGTATCTCAAGTGCTTTGAACAGTCACTGGCACATGGTAAGAACTCAAATATTTTGTGAGTGAGTGAATGAATGAATGATGTAAGGAAAAGATAGCATCTTTGTCAATGTTAGAAACATTTACTTTGGTAATTTAGTAATCCATATAACTTTAATGTCACCCATTGATTACATCTCCCCCTTGTGTCTTAATTAAATTCAAATTATGAAGTAATTTAAAAATGATTTTTAATTACTTAAGTAGAAATACAGTGACAATTATTAATTAAAACAAACAACCCAATTACCTTTTTTTAAGGGTCATGATGAAAAGGTTCAGTTACTCTCTACCATACACAACACAAAAGCTTCTTAATAGAGCTCATGATACATCATTCCTGTATGTGGCACCTCTGGCAAAGAGGTATTGGTTCCTCTCGCCCATGTCTGTTTAATCACATTTCTTTCTGGAATGTCCTTTCTCCTCACTACTGAGCAAGCTCCTGTGGATGTCTTTAAGGTCTGACTCAATGGCTACCGCGTAAAGCCCTGCTTAATCACTTTAACATACAAATTAAAAGCCAAATGTGGTCATTTTGGAAAAATAACTGGTAAATTCTCAAGCTACAATGTCTACTTAAAAAAATGCAAGCACATACACTGAACTGTCATTTTAAGAAACAAAAACGCAAGCTGGTTTCTAATGTGTAATGAAAAGACTATACTAATAAAAAACAGCAATGCTATTTCACAGAATATGTAACTGCAGAGAAAGAACAAAATTCTAGTCATAATTCTTGTCTTAAAAAATTTATATTTATAGAAAATTTTAAGTTTGGTAATTACTATTCAAAGTTTTTAGGGATGACATTTCTGGTCAAATAACATGAAGCATATACACAAATACAGTATGACAAGCCCTTCTTAGTCTTCTAATTATGTAATATTTTATTATTCACAATGGGGCCTCAACGTTTAAAAATTAAATATGTAACACCAAATATAGGAACCTGGCAAACAGTTTAATGAATAACTAAAATGAAGATACTTTCATATGAAACGAAAATTTTAAAGGGTTAAGGAAGATTATTCCTGAGTAAGACTTGAACATTATTTTTTAAGATTATGTTTACACAAATATATAAAAAAGGACTAATTATTAAAAATAAGTTTAATTCTATGCAAATATTTTGACACCATTCCCTTTAAACAGTAGGTAATACAAGTCACATAAAAGTCTAAGCAGGGAAAAGGAATAGAAAATGTTTTTTATACTTACAGCAAAAAAATTAGGGTGTTCTTTTTTTATTCTAGCAATGTGCAGCTCTAATTAAAGCATCTAATTAAAACATTTGAGTGAAATTCACAAAAAACATTGGTGGTAAAACTTTTAATCCTGTTTCCATGATCACTTTCCATTACTCTCTTCTAATAATCACAAAGATCTCAAAAGTATTGTATATATTAGTACCACATGAGAAGTAGAATTTAAAAGAAAATCTAAGCTTGGAAAGTTTTATTTATATTCATTTTCATTCCTAAAAAAATAAACTAGAATCATCTGTAGAGTACAAATAAAGAACTAATACTATTTGGGAAACAAACAATAGTCAAGAGCTTTTCTATTTTTTAATTCTTTTAACCCACATATATGAATTCAGAGTTAACTGGTAAATTGATACCTATATTAGAATACATGATTTATATTTGCATTGATATGTATTCTATTCTATTCCTCTGTACATTTTTGTAAAACAGCACAAAAATACAAAGCAAATATCAAAATTTGAACACGAAAAAGCAAAAAAAGCATGTTTTCAAATACATCTGCACTAGTAGAATTCTGGCCTCCTTTAGAAAACAAACTCAAGAATTTCATTATCCTGAGTCTCTTCAAGGCTACTTGATGTTGTGTGGTAATATCTTTAATTACATTTCCTCAAGGCTTCTTCTAATAGCTTCTTCTAATTCCACATCTGCATTAAAAAACAGAATTTTAATATTTAGCGCAGAAAACTAATAAATGTGCTTTATGTAAGTCTCATCAATTACATGTCTTTTCAAAAAGCAAAGGAAAATCTAAATGGAGAAACAGGATAACTTGGAAGTTTCTCCATCATAAAATTTGAATATTTCAAAATATGAGAATCTGGCTATAACCTTAGACTGAATTATAATGTATATGAACATAATGTGCTAAGGAACTTGCAAGTTATTTCAATTTAGGGATGTAGAAAGTCAACAAACTTCTAGAATCACTGATAGGTAATCACTAAATTCAACATTAAAAAAAACTATACACTTAGTTCCAAAAAGACTTGAGGTAATGCATATAAAAGTTAGAAATAGAAAAGCAATACCATGAAAATGGCAAAATCTCACAGGCTATTAAAATTTTAGTTTTAAGCTTTCTAGCATCTAAGGCAAAGACTGCAACTCATGGCTATATAGTATCTTCTGAGAAGCATATATTATATACACATACGCATTCATTTAACAAATATTTATTGAATGCCCACTGTATGTCAGGCACAGAAACACAACAGTGAGCATGACATTCTTGGGTTCACATGTCTTTGCATTCCCTCTCTAAGAATGATACTGAAGCCCAGGAGGTCATGGAATTAGGTGTCAATTTCTAGGTCTTCACTAGCTTCTTATACCAGACTCTAGTCTCTCAGAGCCTACTTAGTTCATAGGACCAGTGATCCCTCTAAGATGCAACTGTACCTTTATCTGAGCTGAGGCACTGGTGTTATGTTGTCTGTAATTTAAAATACTACAACCTAGTATACACTGTGTGTTAAGTTAAAGCTAGATTCTAGGTCAGGGAATTGTCCTAAGACGAATTCAAAGGGATGAAGTACAAAGAAAAGCTAAGACACTCTCAGCAAAGACTAAGGTGACAAGATGAAAAAGTACTATAAAGTTAATCATTAAGAGTGTGGCGGTCTGGCCAAGTGGTGCAATGGTTAAGAACTGGCTTGGGACGCCAGAGGACCC